ATGCTTAGAAAATTAATAAATGTTTATATTTCATGATTTTAAAATTTGTTGTTAATATAACAAATTAGTTCTGTAATTATTATTATTTAATAAACCAACGTTGGCCACACACAAAAATTTAGAGACTAATTATTTTTAAATAGTATCTAATATAAATAATTTTGACATCTAATTTGTTGTTTATATTTTGCTACTACTTAAAAAAAATATTTATATTAAATGGTTTTAAATTTTGTTGTTAATAGGTATAACAAATTATTACTGTTATTATTATTTATTAAACCAGTCTTTGCTTAAAAACATTAAAAATAATTTTCCTACATCCAAAACAACAAGTATTATTGCAGTGTAACAACAGAATATTAATAAAAAAATGCAGAATATATAGACATGCCTACTATCCCTAACTAACTAAAGCCAAACAATAATATTCTTTGATAATATCAACTAATACCAAAATATGACAACAGCGCCCTTCATAATGTATTTTCTGTGTAAATACTAGCACCTTAATAAAAAAAATAATGTGTCCTTATCTATATCTGACTCCGCAAAAAATCAAAGATGCCGGCTTCTTTCATAGCATTGCCACCGACCGCTGTCGGGTTTCTCGGAAAGAAACCTACGTCGCGTCGCCGGGCGACAACTAAAATTCAGTTAATATTTTATTATAATCGATCCTGACGAATAAATGAATTTCATAAATGAATGGTTTTTGCTGCCGAATTACTAGAATACAATATTTCAAGGCAGATGACGGATCTATTCGATAATTTTTATTCGAATAGTTTTCAACGAATGTTTTCTTACTAACTATCGAATTATTCGAACGAATTGCAACTATCGAATGTTTCGATACTATTCATTCGATACTTCCCACTACTAATAATAATTGCTGTTATTTAAATACTAAATATTAATGTGTGTAACCCTCTTAAAGCTTGTTAAGAAATTGTTTTCATCCTGTCTATGGTAATTTTTATTATGGTAGTCCAGTCAAGATAATCTTTTTAAAGCAAGAAGTCGGTATTAAAGACTTCACATCATCATTCTTTATTAATATATGTAGGGTGAAATTTAAAATAACAAAGATTTGATCAGTTAACTATCATCGTGAATGATCCTATATAAAATTTCTACTTGATTTCTTTATAAGAATTCCTGTTATAATGTTTTAGAATATTTGTAGCCCGGATATAAGGGAAGTAATTTTTTTCTCTGTTAATGCCCTTTGATGTTATACAATTCCGTTCAAGCTAAACGGCAGCGCCGTTACGAAAACTCTCTTCCAATAAATTTTCCGTCTGACCGATTCACGTTTTATAAATAAATATGTGAAATTTCGACGGCAAAAGACTTCGGACGCTCTCGGTCGAGATTACGTTGCGTAAAAGAAGAGCGTTCACGCTCTAAAAACTAATCTTCGTGCCGGTCGATCGCAGAACTCATTTCGCTCTAACAGAAATTAGATTTTAGTGAAAGAAAAATATTTTGGTTCTATTTCGGTTTAAATGCACACAAAATAAAAGTGTATAATACTAATCTACTTTCGTGGTTGATCTAAATCGGATAGATATATCTATAGTTCATATCAAATAAACTTTTAGTCAGGTGATTAAGCTTGACCGGCACAGCGTTGCCCTCCTTTACATATTTTCTTTTAATCAAAATATTTTATGAAACAAAAATAAATTAATTATTAATATATAGACAGTTATTATTTACATCAACAAAACACACCGCCTCAACAGAACATGAGGTCCTTTATGTCCCTTATTAAAGGACATAAAGGGAAATTACTACGGCTTTCCCGTTCAAGATATTCTAATAAAGTTGCGATGAGTTTTTACGGATATTAAACTACCTTGTAAACTTCGCACTAAAAGAAGTTCTACAAAGAACAAAATGTCATTTTCAATCGAATAAAGTAGAAATATACCGAGGGTGCCATTTAAAAATCAAAAGTTGTAGTCATTTCCTGCGAAACAGGAAGTGACCAAAAACAATTGAATAATAATAATAATAATAATAAATAATGTTTATTCAAACTGATCCAATTACAAAGTATATACAAGACTTATACATAACTTACGAATACAAAATAGTGAATAAACATAATATCCTCTTAAGGTAGAACCTTGTCTGAGGAGTTTTATTTCTACAACAATAACTACAATATTTTATACTAAATTCTTAACTATATCTAAATGTATCAAATTAATATATTTCATTGTCCAACACTTAAGCACGCTAAAACACAAGTTATTACACAGCGGTCTTATCTCCTATATCTAGTATTTTATAGGAATAATTTAACGAACATTTTATAAGTACTACTACTCCATCATTTTTATTTAGACTTCCTTCATTATATATAATGTTGTATCCCGGTATCCCTATATAAATCAATATTCCAAATTTTAAAACTTTCAGTAAGTACTATACAATCAAATTCAAAATCTATTCCACGTAAAAGAACAAGAAGCTCATCAAAATTGTGATCTATGCTACGAATATTATTATGAAAAAGTTTAAATGATGATAATTCAATGTCAAATTTACATATATTAATGTCATCCACCACATCTGCCTCAATCAACCTTGTTTCAAAGTCCCTAATATATGAATTCATTGTTATCTTATATGTTAAGCTTTTAAATATTTAACTTGCAATCTGACCCATATCGGAAACACCTAATTTTTCAAAAGAGAATAAAAGATAAAATATATATTTTTTTGTTTTACAATATACTCCAAATACCTTTAATAAAGAAACAAATAATCTATATTGGTTTATAAACGTCCATGTATTTACTATATATTTAAATATTAATAGTCTATTTATTTTTAGCCCAACACCAAATTAAATTTAAACATATAGTATATTTTAATTATTTAAAAGTCCCAAAAGTGCAGAGTCAAGTCGCGATATATGCTTATATCTCCAATTAGACTAAAATTACAAGGAAATTGTAGCCGCGCACAAACGAGCGCCATCAATGTATATAAATAATTCACTAACGTTTTGTTTAAAAAAAAATGTCTCTTTACACTTGACGACATCTTCATTTCTATACCGGCTTCGAGTAACTTCTTGTTGCTGGTCTTCCCTTATTAGTTGAAGGTAGGGATGCGGTTATAAGGCCAGCCGAACCCCTGCGAGTTTGCGTAGTCGATGCTCCCGGATTAATGGTAAATTCAATAGTACTGGTCGGCTTAGCTTTTGGATCCGGATAGTGAGTTTCTTGCTTGTGACGCTCTATAGGTTGTACAGGTTGTTCGTTGACGGGTGTCCCCGGAGCACTTAGGGATGGTCTAGATGGAATATCGGTAAAGACTTCGCAATCAGATTCGTTACCTTTATTTCCTCTCTCCACCAATTGTTCGTAATTATAAGTTTCGCTGCCAATTACAAGAGTATCCCTTTTAATGTACGCCCTTAAACCCTTTTCCTTTGCCTCTTTTAAATTTTGTTTGAGTACCTTGTTCACCACTCTCTCTTTCTTGGAAAGATCGTGGTTAATAAAAATGTTCTTTCCCTTCAGCTTATAGGCGCTTCGAAGAATCAATGCCTTTTTTAAATATGAATTGAGTTCTATACGTAGCGGTTTCGTTGAGTCGTTTCCTAAGTAGTATAAATTGTTTATATCGCTTATATTTATATCTACTTCTAACAGATTTCTTAGTTGCTCGGTTACCCAAGTAGCTAATTCAAAGTCCTTTAGGTTTCTGTGGTCCCGTAGCCCAAATATTATCAAATTGTTCTTCCTAGCTAATTTTTCTAGTGCTTGTACCCTGTATTCTATATCGTTTAATTTACTTTGTATTACAGTAATACTCTCCTTTAGAACTTCCGTTTGAATTGACAAATCCTCTCTCACCGTTTTAATGTCTTCTTTTAATTCTTTTTTGCTGTTCTGTATTAAAGATTTGATTTCTTGAAATTGTTTGAATATGAGCGTATCTACCATTCTTACGGTGTATATTATATATTATAATATCTGTTACTCAAATAAAAAATATTGCAATTGGCAACGACGTCCGCTGTACTTGTCCAAAACTAGGTCAAATAATTATTGTTAATCGATTTATGTGATGGTTCAAAGTCCAAAGTTATTGACCACGGCGGGGCGTTTTCTAACAAATTTGCCTTTTTAAAGATGATTAACCGTTCTAATTATGGCACTTCTTTATTTAAAGACTAAAGACTTACTTTGTCAACTACTTGTAACACTGTATTTAATTTATTCTAGCTAGGAACCACAAAAAACTCAAAAAATTTCTCCGCGATTACAACATTAATACTTATTCCTAAGCCTAAGAATACGTCAATCAATTCTAATTTATGTCATATACTGACATACCAAATCTCGTTTTTTATCTAAAAAAATAAATAAGTTATAGGGGTGAGCCACTTTCAAGACACACCCGGTATATTGTAGAATTAAATTATGAAGAATATACTAAAGAGTTAGAACCAGCTATTTAAACTTATTTAGTTTTACAGTAGTGAGCCTCTAGCATTCTTAAAAAAATTAAATTTTAAATAGTATCAAGATTTTCAATAATAAAGGATATGTAGCCGTATGTATAGTAAATGTGGCCAAGGTATGTACGACATTCAGACCTGCAGAGAGATCTTAACATTCCTTACGTTGAAGAGAGACGGAAATCCACTGGCAAACATAAGGCCAAATTGCGTTCACATATCAATGTAGACACATCTAAGTTGCTCGACAACCGGAATTTAGTAATTACCTAAAGAGAAATAAACTCCTACAAATTACTATAAATGTGTGAATGCGCTTATGTTTTTGTTTTCAACCAAAATATACAATATTTAAACAAATTTCCTAAATAACAAAAATTAGGTATTATTTACTATTTACAAATCTACATTTAATTTTGTATAAGTTTAAGATATTTTAAAGAAAAAACAATGACTCGTTATTATATTTATAGTCACATTATGATAATGGACGTAAAATAATTTTATTTACCTTAGGTGGAACTATAAGAAAAGTTTCGATTTTGTGGTCAGCCAAGTATCCTTCTCTGCTAGCACCGTCACCAGGTTCTACTTCAAATTTGTCTCCTAGTTGTTCTAAAGTTGCACGCGTAATATGTACACGCCTGAAAATAAAAAGCAGACATTAGATATTATAAGGTAAAAGATAAAAAACATGTTAATTTAGATTTCTCAAACTTCCTTTACTTAATTTTTTTACTCTATACTCCCGAAATACTGATGAAAGTCTAAATACGCGTCCATTATTTTAGTATTTAAGTAATTAGTTTAGTTTTTAGTTTTAGTTTAGTTTAGTTTAGTTAAACGCAACTGTAAAGGATATATGTATCTGTTAAGTTGTTTCAATAAATAAATAAATAAATAAATAAATATTAGTCGTATTATTTAAAAAACACGTGTTTGTTTATGTTGCGTGGAAACCAGAATTAACTAATAGAACTAATAGCTTGGAAATTACTGTTTATAGTTATTTTATAAATTCCAAAAGTTATTTTACATACATTTTTTTCTTTTACCTTTAGGTAATAATTTACACAGTGACAGTGTCAAGAGTAAGTACAGTAACCAATATTTTGTTATTTGCCTCTAACCCTGATTAGAATGATCTTAACATAAATATAATTAAAATAATTATATTCATGTTAAGGCCATTCTAATCAAGGTAAGACACTAATCTCTAAAGATTTGTTACATAAAATTTGGTGGCAGCGGTGGGATTTTAAGTCTCACAAAAATTTTAATCATATTTATGGCTTTGCAGACGTTTTTCGAGATGCAAGGCAAGATCTTATGCAAGGCCATAAATATGATAAAAAAATGCAACAGCACTGACTAAACATGAATTGTCAACTGGGCATACTTTTAATTTTGAAAGGGTAAAAATTATTAAGTCTGAGTTTAATACCAAAAAAAAGGAACTGTGAATCCATAGCCATCAAAAAAACACCAACGCGGAAAATGATAAACAAGAAACGAACAACATTAGTAAACTATATCAAGCAGTGCTGAAATAGCCGTCTATCGGGCGACTTAAAAATAGTTAAATTCAATGATGTACCTGTATACTATATGTTATCTGTGTGTGCATGGGTTATTATTTTAAAGATTAGGATTAAGTTTTAACAAAAAGTACAAATCTACGTTCAGGGTAAATCATTCTTGTTTTATTATTTTTGTATTTTTAACTGTTTTACATGTAAATATTATTAGTTCTGACAGATGGTCGAAAGGTCATGATATATAAAATTATAATATATAAAAAAAGGTGCCCGGTGGCGTAGAGGTACAGGCTCTCGTCTACCAATCTCAAGGTGTGGGTTCGATCCCCCCCCCCCCATTTCATCAGCTGACTATTTTTATTAAAAATAAAAATAGTTTGGGTACCTAGGTCGACTCAGCCTTAAATGAGTACTTGGGATTCACAATACTGAGGTAATAATAGGCGGTTGAAGCGTAGTGCTAGCCATATTACCTTCCTTGTATACCGAACGGCTCTAGTATAGCAAGCTGTACCTTGCTACTCCCAAGGCGTTAAACGCTATATACGGGAGCTATTATTATTATAAAAAGACCAAGTTATGGTCGAAACGTCATAATATATAAAAAAATATCAATAAATAATAATTAATGTATTAAATCTTTAAACTATTTATTTATATGACCTCAAACCAAGAATTAAATTTGCTTAAAATATATTTCATACGGTCAAAGAATAATTGAAACTAAAATATTAAAATAATTATATTGAAATTTAAAGAAGGCGTTCATTCTTCTCAAAGAGACCTGCTTCAAATTAAAAAAGTAGAAAGACTTTGACTTTCAGTCTTTTTTCTACTTTTTTAATTATATTGAGGTTAGGGTCATTCTAATCAAGGTAAGAGACATATTTAAAAAAAATGTTACATAAAATTTGGTAGCAGCGGTGATTTTAAGACTTACAAAAAGTTCCCTCTTTTTTCCCTAAAAAACTCAATTTAACGTCGAACACATGCGAACCTCTAAACTATACTTAAACTATACTAGGTTGAGTTTTAAGCTGAAAAATATTCCGTTACAGTAACATACGATCGAAAAAAAAAACGTCGTCAGAGACAGCTGGTAAATGACAATCCATGAGGATTTTGCTAGGTCAAGCCCTAGACGCCATTTACTTGGCCCGTACTCTTCTTTATTTTTTATTGTAATTTATTTTTATATTGGGTAAACATGATTTTTAAATGGTGTAGTTTAAAATTCGAGAAAAAAGTTTTTTGGAAACAGATTTATGTGTCGTTATCTTTTTTTAATCTGTCTATAATTAATGTTAATTTTCGACAAGTTTTATGTCAATTTTTAGTAAATGACGTCTAGAGATTGACTTCGCCAAATATATTATCGATTGCTATTTTTGAGCAGTCTTTGACGCCGTTTTTTTTTTCGATCTTACGGTATTAGAGTCGATATACTTTAAATTGATATAGAGGAAAATGTCCCCTTATTTAAGAGATCAGGTACTTCAGAATGCTTGGCGCCTCGTAATTAAAAGATATAAAATAACAGCAAAGAGTTAGCTAACTGAGTGTTAACTAACTGGGATTGGAATAATTATTGAAAGTTAAAGTTAACTTACCGGAAATTAAGCTTACTAAGTGGGGGTTAACTATCTGCACGTTAACTAACTAGAAGTCATCTAGATGCAAGTGAACTATCGAAAAATTAACTATTAATTAACTAACTAGGTCCTTGAATGACTTGAATCATCCAATCAAATACAGTATTTTGTATTGGATAATTCTTTGTAATAAGCTTTATTCATGAGACACTATAATTAAACCAACTTTGAATATACTGGTAAAATGATACTGATAATTTGACTGGAAATTATACCGGAAATTTGTAATATAATGGAAAATCAGATGACGTAAAATAATTATTACTCCTAATATATATATATATATATATATATATATATATATATATATATATATATATATATAAATGTGGTATAATATCGGGAAGCGGTCTGTTTCAATTAAACTCACTTTAATCTAAATAGCTCTATATTTCGACATCATTTATGTCTTCATCAGGAGCGTCAGAATTAGAGTCAAATTTTACAAAAAAAAAACATACAATAATGTAAAATAAACTACTTTGATCTACAAACCACCATTGACAACGTACGTATATAAAAAAAAAATGGCATGGATTTTTTTTTTTTTTGGATGGATTTCATGGAATTCAATGGATTTTTTTTTTATATACGTACGTTGTCAATGGTGGTTTGTAGATCAAAGTAGTTTATTTTACATTATTGTATGTTTTTTTTTTGTAAAATTTGACTCTAATTCTGACGCTCCTGATGAAGACATAAATGATGTCGAAATATAGAGCTATTTAGATTAAAGTGAGTTTAATTGAAACAGACCGCTTCCCGATATTATACCACATTTATTAAATCGTACGGTCGAGAATAATTAACAAATATATATATATATATATATATATATATATATATATATATATATATATATATATATATATATATATATATATATATATATATATATATATATATATATATATATATATATATATATATATATATATATATATATATATATATATATATATATATATATATATATATTTTTGTTTCGTTTCTTTGACCTGTATACACAGAGCGATCGGCAAGGAAATACGTACGTGCTCGTAGTAAAGTGTAATGTCCAAAAACAATTAAAAACAATAGTAATATGTGTTATTGTGTTGTCCAGTTTAACAAATTTTAACTCTGAAAGAATCTACGTTCAAGAGGCTTGAAAAAGACATATACTGTCGAAACGTCGTCACAAAATAAAAAAATAATGAACAAAATCTAGAAACATCTTTGCAACCCCAACGACCTAAAGCCAAGAGTGAAAACAAAAAAAATATATATATATATATATATATATATATATATATATATATATATATATATATATATATATATATATATATATATATATATATATATATATATATATAAAACATTATTTTTACAATATATTATTTAGAAGATTCCGTTTAAAAAAGTGATATGGGTCTATTTGTCCTGAATAATGCATGCTTATTTAATAAAATCAATAGTTCAGTTTATTTTAAAATGTACTCTTTAATTTTCTCCATTGATTTCCTATATATTAGTAATGAAAATGTCATTACTCTGAAAATTTTATAACATAATCTATCTAATCGAATAACATGAATCAATTTCGTGACCTTTTATATGCAATGATGTAATTACGAATATTAATAAATACAAATAGAATTAAAATACCATATTTTCATTTTATTTTATAATAATAAATGTATATTAGGAGTATTTTTATATTAGTATGCTGTATCTGTAATCTACGCTATCGAAAGATGCGTACAATTTATCTTAGATAGGAACATCGGAAACAGGAGATAGCTATCTTATCCGATAGTCAAGCAGTATTAAAAGCGATCAAATCAGTAACTATCAATTCGAAGTTAGTCAAAGAATGCCTAGACAAACTGAACAAATTAGACAAAGAAAATAAAGTCCTTCTACTCTGGGTGCCCGCTCACCAAGGTATAGAAGGCAATGAAAAAGCAAACGATCCAGCTAGAAAAGGAGCGAACACTCCACTAACTGGACCAGAACCGTTCTGCTTTTCAAACGGGAACCAACTTAAGGCGGAACTGAAGAACCTGGAGGACTCCCTCCGTAACCTGGAATGGGAATACACATATAAGTATGGTATAAGACACTCGAAAAAGTTCCTAAGAACTTACGACTGAGAAAAATTAAAGATTTTCCTTGATTTAAGTAAGAACAATCTTCGGATTTTCACGGGGTTTCTAACAGAACACTGTCTTCTCAACGAACACTTCAGTAGATTGATTGTGGAAGAAATGGGGAAACACCAGAAAACCCAGGGGCGGATACACGAATTTACTTTAGGGGGGGTCTGGGATTTATTTTAGGGGGGGGAGGCAAATAAAAAGTAATCTAGAATATGCTTTTTAGAGCGCCACTTTTAACCCAATAGCCGAATGTTTAACCCAATTTATAGATTTTAGGGGGGGTCCTTGGCCCCATGGCCCCCCTCTCTAT